AACCCTACATCTGATAGAGGGCTAATATCCAAGGTATACAAAGAACTGAAGAGGGCCGGGTAGTGGTGGTGCACACCTTTAATCCCAGCACTTGGGAGGCAGAGGCAGGCTGATTTCTGAGTTCGAGGGCAGCCTGGTCTACAGAGTGAGTTCCAGGACAGCCACTGCTGCACAGAGAATCTCTGTCTCAAAAAACAAAAACAAACAAAAAACAAACAAAAAACCCCCAAAGAACTGAAGAAATTAGACTCTAGACAATCAAATAACTCTATTTTAAAAAATGGAGCACAGAGCTGAACAAAGAATTCTCAACTGAGGAAGCTCGAATCGTTGAGAAGCACCTAAAGAAGTGTTCAGCATCCCTAGTCATCAGGGAAATGCAAATGAAAACAACACTGGGATTCTACCTCACACCAGTCAGAATGGCTAAAATCAAAAACACAAGTGACAGCAAATGTTGGTGAGGATGTGGAGAAAGAGGAACATTCTTCCATTGTTGGTGGGATTGTAAGCTGGTACAACCACTATGGAAGGCAGTCTGGTGGTACCTCAGAAAATTGAACATAGTGTTACCTGAGGACCCAGATAAATCACTCCTGGGCATATACCCAAAAGATATTTCAACATACAACAGGGACACATGCTCCACTATGTTCATAGCATCCTTATTTATAATAGCCAGATGTTGGAAAGAACCCAGATGTCCTTCAACAGAAGAATAGATGCAGAAAATGTGATACATTTACACAATGGAGTACTACTCAGCTATTAAAAACAATGAGTTTGTGAAATTCTTAGGCAAATGGATGGATCTGGAAAATATCATCCTGAGTGAGGTGACCCAATCTCAAAAGAACTTACATGGTATGCACTCACTGATAAGTGGATATTAGCCCAAAAGCTCACAATACCTAATACACAGTGCATAGACCACATGAAACTCAAGAAGGAAGACCAAAGTATGGATGCTTTGGTCCTTTTTAGGAGTATCAAAAGATTCAACCAGAGCTCCCAAAGTCTAAACCTCCAGCCTGAGAGCACAATGGGAGGGACTCATGTCTCCACCTGTATAGGTAATTGAGGGTGGCCTTGTCAGACATCAGTGGAAGTGGAGGGCCATGGTCCCTGAAAGTTTGGATTCCCTAGTGTTGGGGAATTCGGAGCAGGGAGATGGGACTGGGACAATATTCAGAGCACACCATCATAAAAATAGGAGGAGAGGGTATGGTATAAGGGGTTTGGGAGGAGAATGGGAGAGGAGAAAAAATTGAATGGTAAATATGTAAAATATCCAATAAAAAAAAAACAGATAATGGGTCTGGAAAAAAAACACCAACAAAAAAAAAGAGAGTTTACTTATTTCAAATTATTTTCAAAAGTTTCTAGGAGATGCTAATTGGCTAAGATCTTATTTTAAGCTCTCCACAAAAGAATTTAAGTCCCTGTTTAATATTCTCAAGAGAGATGTAAATCCTAATTTCCCTCAACAATTAATTGACAAAAGAGGAGTAATCTAACAAAAAGTAGAAGCTATTATTAATCGATACATTATATAGTCTGATTATTTATTGGCTGTTCTATAACAGTCCTTTGATAAAAGAGATTATTAATATTGATTTACATTTCTTTAAATAGTGTCTTCATGACTCTCTAGTGTGGAAGGAGTGGCTGCTGGCACTTCTGCACTGATTTTACAAGATCTCTGAAAAATTGGCTTTAAAAACAAAAGAGGGGGAACAATATCCCCCAAGAAGGAGTCCCCCGAAATACTCTCCATCACACCTTGTTCACTTTTAACTCTTCAAAACTGAAAGCTCATGACAAATCTGCTGCTGACTGCCTCTGGCATCACCGAGACCAATAAAAACTATGCTATAGCTATGTGGAAGGACTGTCTTACCCTTAAAGGGAATGGCCCAGACCCAGTTCTCTTATGGGGCAGAGGATTGATATGCCTGTTTGATACCACAGAAGGCACAGCTAAATGGCTACCAAAAAGTTTAATGAAATAAATAGATACCCCCACAAAGTCAGGCCCAATCATAAATAAGATGAATAACAAATGACATCCAGGGAAGAGAAAGCTCACTGAGAATTCCCTTCTTTTTCCTTTCCATGTGAAAATGAATTACACATGATGTCTGCTGTTAGAAGTTCTAATCCAGATGCTGGTCTCCAAATTTATACTACTTAGATCTCCGATAGGCCATTGACAAGAACATCAAACAGCTAGAGACTGACATCAATAATCTGAAGAGATCCCTCATTTCGCTGTCTGAAGAGAACTCCAAAAATTGCAAAGGACTTTATTGGACTTGATTTACTCTTTTACAATAGAAAAGACTGTGTACAGCTCTTGACTGTGTTCAGCCCTTAAAGAAGAATATTGCCTTTACATAGACAAGACAGAGATGGCTAAAGAGAGCATGAAAAAGGTCAGAGAAAGCCCTGGAGAAAAGACAGAGAGAGAAAGAGAAAGAGAAAGATGAGAGCTAGTACAAGAATTGGTTTTCAGCCTCTCCATGGTTGTCAACCCTACTTCCTCCCATCTTGGGACCATTAATTGGGTTTATTTTTGCTTACTTCTTTTGGCCCCTGGACCTTAAATAGGTTGACTAACTTTGTGAAATACCAGAAAAATAATTTGGTAACAAAACCTACTCAGATACATTATCATAAGTTAGCTATGGAGGACCACGAGACTCAAGATGAAGTTGTTACTCTATCTAGGGTGTTCCCAAAACCCATCTCCACCCAACCTAAAAGAGGGGATTTCCACCCCTAGACCAAGCAGAGAGGGGCCACCCAGAACCCCCTCTGAATGGCGATCTGAATTCTTGCTTAGGCTGCGAGGCTAAGCACTGCAAGGGAATATAAATAAAAGTTAAAAATATCTCTCTGGGTTCCCTGAGGGACAAGCCTGACTGCATAGGGGTTGATGTCAAAAGTATCCCCTCCCCAGGAAAAAGACATCGGGACGGGTATGGCCCTCATGCCTCACTGGACAACAACAGGGGGAACGGAGCCATTACAAGGTCCCCTTCAATTACTGGAGGTCAGGTCTCTATCCCTGCCTTCGCAAGAGTAGAATCACCACAGCCTTCCTATACTTGGAGAAAGGAAGAAATGTCAGGGGCAGCCCTGCTTATACACTGAAGGCCTAAAATCAGCCATAGGCCTAAAGTCAGAAATAGGCCTGTCATACATGTATACTAACACCAAGTCTTGGGTCTCTGTGGAAAAACATTGCAACAGATGGCTATAAGCTATTGTAAACAGGCAGCTTTTGTATAAATTTACCAGCCTGAGTAGTCATAGACCTTGTAAATAGGTAGCCTTGGCAGATAATACCAACTTAGATAAGGACAATGAATCATAGGCAGAGCCATAGTGATTTGTCCCCTGAACTTTAACCCAGCAGATACCCTGTTCTGAAAGATCTCTGTACTCTCCCTAAACACTCATGCTCCAGTGTCATCCCTTCTCCACGTCCTGCCTTTTTGTGTTTATAACCCCTGCGTGAATAAGTAAAAATTACAGTTTGATTTAAAAAAAAAGATACTCCAATATTGTAGCTAAAATTTCAGTAATGTAGCTTAAACCTTTATTTTGTTTACATTTGATTTCCATTTTTTTGTTCAATCTCTCAATGATTTTTTAATTAATTTAAACTCATGCTGAGATAAATATCCCAGAGAAGTAATATGGTTTTTTAAAATTAATTAATTAACTAGCTAATTGATTAGTTAAGTTATTTGGTTTTCTTTTGGGAGTACATATTTCCTTAAAGGCAAAGGTCTTAAACGTGTATGAAATAGACTCTTAATTACCTACTCATTAAATAAAGTTGCTTTATAGAAAAAAAAGGACTGTAATGTCATTTGAAAAGAAACGAATATTGATCTTTAAATTGAGAAGTCATATTTAGAAAATAAAATAAAGGACTCAAAATCATTTGAATTTTAAATAAACAATAATGTATTAATACAAGTATGCAGAAGTATTGCCTCTACCAGAGACACACCTATAAATAAAACTTCCTGTTGGTTATGTCAAAAAAAAGAAAATTTACAAATATAATTGTCATTTAATTCCTTTCCAAAGAATATGAATTCCATACGTTTAAGAGACGGCACTGACAGTGTACAATTCACAATATGCAAGACATGAAAATTCTTACACTTAGGTGAATGAGTAAACAAAAAAAGATGTACTTTATATAAGCATTAAAATTCAACAATAGAATGGAATGTGTCATTTAAACATCATGTGATAACATTGAATTTTTGTTACTTAAATAAAATAGAAAAGATCTAGAAAGACACAATGCATAAATGGAGTCTTAAGTATTTGAACTCTAATGTAAACCAGACTTGTGGTTATCATGGCCCAGTCAGGGGAAAGAGGGTTAGGAATACATATAAGAGGTATAAAATTTCACTGATATAGGAAGCATAACTTGAAGATAGAATATTTATACAACATGGTGCTTATAGTCTGTAATAATAAATAACATTTTAGAAACTGCAAAGAATAGATTGGATTACTGAAAATAGAGGTGTTCAAGGACAGGCAAGTTATCTCAGTTGTTAAACATACTTGCCATCCAGCCTGATCACCTCAGTTCAATTCCCAGTACCCATGCGGTGAAAGAAGAGAGCTAACTCCTGAAAGTTGTTCTCTGCCTTCAACATATGTCTTGTGACATTGATATGAACATTTATATACATCTACAGACACAACAAACACATGTAATGATTTTTATAGATGTGGACAAGAAAATGCATATAATAATTTAGTAAACAATAATTTCAAAATATATAAATATTTCAAAACACATTTTTGTCATAAATATATGTCATTTGGTAGAAATAAAAGGGATCAACTTGGCAACTGGGCCTTTGCATCGAAACTATCAATCATATAATATTAAGAAGCATTGACATGTGGTAACTATTGACCCCACAGATACCAAATTATCTGTATTCTCTTTCTCTTACCTCTTTTTTAAGGCATTAAAATCTTTGTAGTCTTCCAAATCTTTCCTTTTGGTCATGGTGATGTCATTTTCCCAAATCCCAGCAAAAGAATACATTAGGTGAGTACACAGGCATGGGTCAATATCATCAAGCTTCATACTTCCCACATCTGGCTGATACTTAGGCCAGTTGTTGAAGTAACACATCAGCTGGTAGGCAGAATCTGAGAGGTGAGGGTTAAGAATGAAAGTGTTATGTTGGTGCTAATGACCTCTGCTCATAGTTTGGCCCTGCTTCCTTCCTTTTTTGTACTTCAGATGCCTAATCTCTGTTTAGAAGTGATTGGTGTGAGCTCTCACAGATGAGCCTATCTTGAGAATAGTAACTGATTTAAAGTTCCTTATGTTCAGTTTTGGAAAATACATTGGGGAAGTTTTGTTTACTTAGAAGACAAAGCAGAGGTCCAGCTGTCATGTGGTGCTAGATATTCATTAGTTTATAGCTCTCCAGTCATCATGCTATACTGAATAGCAGTGAGAGCAGAACTAAAACAGTCAACTCTCCACAAAGTAAACCCATCTTATTTCCTAGTATAAATTATCTCCTGGTAAGGTTTTTTTCCAATAATAAATATTAGAATATAATTAATAAACTGTATTAACAAGAATATTGGATTATAAGTAATTTATAGAAATCTGAGGCTTTGCTAATAATAAAACATGTAATCAATGACTTACCCAGTTGAGCATTCAGTAGGAGATTGAAACCTGAAAACAGAACATACATTTACCTGCTGTTCTCTAGGATCTAACTCAGAAGGCTTTGGGCCATCCTGCTTATTATAGATTGTTACATCCCTAGTAATGCTCTTAAACTTGTTCATTTACTACTCAGAACTAGCCATAACCCTGTCTTTCCCCTTCCATGTAATATTTACTATTGAATGTAAAGGCTATAGAAGATGAACTAACATTCACTTTGCTCAGGGATCACATGTTCAAATGTGCCTCTCCTCCCAGAGATTGGATGAGTTTAGCCTTATAACATGCAAAGCATCATTTAAAGCATAGAACTGGATTTCTCCTAGAGCATTGGGGTGTTCATTAAGAAGACTGTTGCAAAGCCTTTTGTAATGATACCAGAACAATGAAATAAAACTCAAGATGATTTTACTCAGCTTTACCACAGTATGTTTTCTTTTGACAGGGTCTCACTATGGAACTTAGGCTGGCCATGGCCTAGAGTTCCTTCTGCCTCAACATATTGAGTCCTAAAATTTAAGGCTTGAACCACCCTCAAGCTAAGCAAACCATTTCTCTGACTGTTTCACAAACTAATCTTGGTATTATGTTTCAAAAAATATTTTGGAGGTCAGTGAGTTTAAAACTACATAGATTTAGTGCAGTTAATATATTTTGGAATTACATAAGATATATATAAAATCATGCTCTATGAGTGAATGTACTTCTAAGAATAATACATAAATAATGTTGTCACTGACTTAGGAAAACTATATAAGATAACTAAAGAATAATTCTAAGTAACTGTTCCATAGCTCTGCCTCCTGTCCTACAGATCTTTATCTCAGAGAAAGCTACTCTACAGACATAACCAAATGAATAAACATAACACTATGGAACAAAGAAATATGATTTACTAAACAGAGGAAAATAATGCTTGGAAACATAGTCAACTACCAAGAACTAGTAAAGTTCTGTATCTTGGAGAAAACTCTTCAGCTTCTAACTTCCTAAACCAGCACAACTCCTAAATACATTCTAAATACTTATCCTACTACCCAGACTTGTTTGGTTCTTACCCATTAAAGAAACAGTCTTGCAGCATCTTCAGTTTGGGGCAGGTTGAGATCATTAAAGAAAATGATCAAAATGCAGAGAAAAAGTGACGGGGTGGTGCCTAGCCCCAACTGCTACATCTATAACTCCTGCATTCAAGACTCGAGGATAATAGTAAAAAATGTGGCAGAAAGATTCTAAGAGCCAGGGGAAGAGCGAGATTGCTGTGAGATTTCCTCACCTAAAACTGTCAAATAAGCTACACCAACTAAGTCTCATCAACATGGTTTCCTGAACAAGGACAACAATATAAACACTAACACAAAAGGGGAAAGTTTCACTTGATCTCACTCCTACACAATGAATTCCAGTTAACTATGGGATGCTAAGACTGGGAGAAATTGTCCTCCCAAGGAAAGTCCTCAAATTTATTATCCTATAGCAACTGCTCACTCCAGCCATCAAGTACATAAAAGTATCATAACAAATAATAACAATAATAATAATAATAATAATAAATAGGGAAACCATGTAAGGAGAAGGCTCTATATCTGATTACAGACTCACCCATGATGAAGACAAGCTTGGATGCGGTTGCCTTCAGTACTGATCCAGCAGGGTCTTCATTGGTTTTATATAGCATTTCTGTCCCTAGAAATCACAGAGGTTTTCACATAGAAATTGCTTACTACAAAATATATATGGTGGATTTTGTAAATCAGCAGCTCTCTATTACAGACTCTGCTTTTAATGCTATTCTTCCTAGCAGGAGGTGAAGTCCACAGTTACACAAAGTACTTACTTGCTTAATACCCTTTTCCTTACATTCTGAGGCTGTGAAAATCTGTTGAGATAAGGCAATCAGATTTTATTTCACAGAATTTTCATACCTGGCATCAAAGCAAGTTTATATTGGCAGGTGAACAGCAAAATCCTTTGCAAAGTATTAGCTCTGTTTGAATATTGTTTGTTCCTGGAATTATTCACATGTTATTTATATAGTCAGTGCCCAAATCATTTCCTCTCTCTACTCAGGGGCTACTACCTTAACATTCTATCCACATATCTTATATGAAATGACCAAGATGTGGGGTATTTAGGATTTCAAAGAATGGTAGTTACACTTATTGAGGAAGTAGATACAGAGGGCCAAGGGTTGCAGGGAAGCACTCAGAATGTGACCTGGGATGTCAGATTATGATACTTATTAGTACTTTGATATACAGATTTGAGGATGAGAAAAGTATGGGGTAGAAATAAAAATTAAGGAGTCATTAGAATAATGAGTATGCTCTCTAGGCACATCAACAAGGCCTTATAAATCAATAAGAGCAAAGCTCATACGAACTCATAGAGATTGAGACAGCGTACATAGGGCCTGAGTGTGTCTGCATAGTTGGGGTCCTAGAGCTGAAAGGAGAAGTGGACACATCCCCCTTCCCTAACTCACAAGCAATAGCCAAGTGATAACCACTTACAAATAAAATTTAGTTTTCCCCAAGGAAGTTTCAGTGGGGAAGCAAACTACTCTTAAGAATAGGCTAAATGTCCAGAAGTAGATGGCCAACAGGAAATGAACCACGATGCCACTGAGCACCTCTGGAGCTTTCTTGTTTCATAATGTCACATCAGTCCTCTGCCTTTTGTTAAAATGTATATTATTCTATTTTATTCATATGTATACATATATTTCTTCTCTCTTTTTTTACCCTACAGGGGGAAAAAAGCATATGTATTATGGCTTCCAGTTTACAGTGCTTTTATGGGACTCCTGAGTGTGTGAAAGAGTAGCTCTCTGTTTCTTGTGCCTTCTCTTGGACTCTTTCCTGTTGTTTATTTTGTCCAATTTTGATGTGTTAGTTTTTTGTTTTATCTCATTTTATTACATTATTTTAGTGTTATTCCATAGAAGCCTGTTTGTTTTGTAATGAGAAATAGAAAGGGAGTGGATTTGGATGGGAGGGTGTCAGGGATAGGATGAGGGGAAGAGCTGGAAGGAGCAGAGGGAGGGAAACGATAATCAGGATATATCATGTGAGGAAAACAATCTATTTTCTTTTTCTTTTTCTTTTTCTTTTTCTTTTTTTTTAGGTGTTTCGAGACAGGGTTTCTCTGTGTAGCCCTGGTTGTCCTGGAATTCACTCTGTAGACCAGGCTGGCCTCAAACTCAGAAATCCGCCTGCCTCTGCCTCCCAAGTGCTGGGATTAAAGGTGTGTGCCACCACAGCCCGGCTCAATCTATTTTCAATAAAAGGAAAATAAAAATTCAAAAAGAAAAAGAATAATGAGTATGTATAAGCCTATATAGGGATAACTTTGTAAATAAATCAACAAAACAAAATAATGGTCTAGACTGAGTCATGCTTAAAATACAAAAAGATGAGGGCTCAACATAAGGAATTAAGGAACATTCACGAAATAGAAGAGGAGAAACAAAGTGATAGCTTTAAGCAATGAGTTTTTTCTTAAGAATCAGTAATCAACTAGACAGTAGCTCATACCTATAATCTTAGCAATTGGAGGCTGAGGCAGGAAGATTGTTATGAGTTTGAGGTGAACATGGACTAATAGTGAGTTCTAGACTAACTTGGGCAAGAGTGACACCTTGTCTCCAAAACAAAGGAAGGAAGGAATGGAGGGAAAGAGAGAGGAAGAAAAGAAAGAAAGAAGGAAGGATGAAAAGGAAGAAGAAGAAAAAAGAAAGTGGTATGTCCATAATGCCAAATGTTGCTGACTATATACTATTTTTATGTCAGTACATGGGCCTTGAGGCTAGAAACAATTCATAATTATTCCTAAATACTTCACATAGAGATGAACAGCATTCAAATGCTAAATACAACAATTGAAAATCAAAAGTTGTAATCACTCAGAGAATATCATCATACTCCCTGTTGCTTCTTTGCCTACAAACAAGATGTCTGTCCTAAGAAAAACTGTAAGAAGTATGAAAACTTCTATGGTTATCGTATCAACAGGATGAGTGTGGTTTCATCTATGTAACATCATCCATAGATACTTATAGGCAGAAGAACTTCTAAGATCAGGACAGTGGGGTGAAAGTTTAAGGCATGAAGTCCTCTAATCTTCCATGATCAGCTCCACTATATTTCATTCATATTTGTCATTTATTAGGTGAGTCCTCACCAAATTGCACTTGTTTCCTTAACCAAGATGAAGGTCATCATTAGTTTCATTATTTTAGAGCCAATGACTAAGATCTCTGTACAAAGTTTCAAACCTTACAGGCATACATACCAGCTATTTACCTTACTTACAAATTATACTATTTTTTTTTAATCTCCTACTAAAATCTGCTCCCAATTCACAGTCTCTTCTGATCCTCAGAGAGTAGTCTACTTGTAAAACCTAACTGCTAAATACCTAGCCTCCTGGTTAGAACTCTATCCAGTCCTCACCATCACCATAACTGCTGCTAAATTCTTGGTTCTTAGTTTTTAGGCTCATTTGTTTAAGATAAAATTGATTCCAGAACCTTAAGGACAGCACACTCTCACACTCAAATCAGACAGATGCTTATTCCTTGGTCTATTCCCAGTGGATTCACATTCTGAGTCACCTTTCAGTTGACTCTTGTCTACTCCTGTGACTGCAGGTAAACTTCAAACTTTACTTCAAAAATAATTGGATGAGAGCTTTCCCTTTCCTCTTCCCACCTTTCAGTCTGTACTCTGTACTGTGGAGAAAGTCCTTCAGATAAAACTCTCGGAACATTCTCTAGTGACCAATATCAAAAGATGGAGTTGATGATGTTTTTGAAGTTATCAGTGGCTTACTAGTAACAAGGAAATGTCATGAACTCTGTCTCATCTGAAACTGAAATTTTCATATTGATTGTGAGCCACTTCTGAAAGATAGATGCATCTTCCGCTAATCTATATTTTTTTCTTAATTCACTTCACCTATTCAGTTATAATCAAAAAGGTTTTCTTTTTTATCCCTAACCACCTAGAACACATTCTTAATCTTGTAACCTCATACTAAGTAACTTCAGCACCACTCTGGTGAATGACAGCTTCTATGAATGACAGCTTCTATGTGTATCATTTTCTGCACCAGAATACATGGCTATTACAGTCCCTCTGATGACTTAGCCATGTTCACAGGTGTTACTTTGTACACAAATAAAAAGATGGCCCATTTTCAATTATAGCAATTTTTCAAGATTTGTAAACTTTCTTCCTAGGTATTGATTTTGCTTTGGCCTAATATTTTCTTGTTATGCTCCAATGTTTTCCTTTCAGAATGGGAAGGTTTATTAAACAATTAAACAATTTTGATTTTAAAGAGCTCACAGTTAAGAGATTTTGTTTAATCTCTGAGTGATTTTGAACTTTGACCTGTGTTTTATAAGGATGGAGACTTTTGAAGTTAAATGTGTTTTGCTTTATAAGATGACCATGAGGGAATTTCAAGGGAACAGATATAGAATTCACCAGTATAAGAGGTTTTGTGGGAATTTTGGAAGACAAAGAAATGAATTATGATTGGAGAGGAAAAGGTGGGATAGAAAAGGGAAAACAGGAAGGGATGAATAACAACAAAGACTTTCCACATATAATTTTTTCTTTTGTAAATTTTGTATTGGTTATTTTGTTTATTTACATTTCAAATGTCATCCCCCTTCAAGATTTCCTCTCTGAAACCTCCCATCCCACCCTCTCTCCCCTGCTTCTACAAGATGCTCCCCAACCCACCCACTCACTCCCAACTCACCATCCAAGCATTCCCCTACACTGAGGCATCAAGCCTTCATAGGACTAAGGGCCTCCCCTCCCTCACATATAATTTTTAATACATGCATAAATAACTTTCTCTTTTTAGGGGCTTCAGCCTAAGCATTCTGTGCACATTCTAACTCTAGAATGGTATTACATTATGATTATATATTAATTTTATTTATGTGTCACCAAATGTTCCCTATAATACTCTCTGAAACTATACTGTTTCATAATTTTATGTGGCATCTAGGCAATGCTAGCATAGATTTCCAGTTATCAACAATTGCCAGAAGCTGGAAACAACCCAGATATCCTTCAACTAAAGAATGAACGCAGATAATATGGTTCATTTACACAATGGAATACTATTCGGCCATTAAAACTGAGGACATCATGAATTTTGCAGGCAAATGTATGGAACTGGAAAATATCATCCTGAGTAAGGTAACACAAACCCAAAAGAACATGCCTGGTATGTACTCACTGATAAGTGGATATTAGCTGAAAAGGTCAGAATACCCATGACACAACTCACAGACTGTAGGGAGCTTAACAAGAAGGAAAGCCCAAGTGTGGATATTATAAACCCACTTAGAAGGGGGAACAAAATAATCATGGGAGACAGAGGGGAATAGAAACCTGGCTGGGAGAGGGGAGGGAGAAGGGAAGACAGGATCAAGTATAGGGGGAGACAGGAGAGAAACCCAGAAGGACAGCAAAATGAATTGAAATATGTAGCAGTGGGCGGGGGTGGAACCTCTAGAAAGTCCCAGAGACCTGGAATGAGAGAGGCTACCATGACTCAATGGGGATGACATTAGCAGAAATGTCCAACAGTGGGGCGATGAAACCTGAAGAGACTACCTCCAGTAGATAGACATGGCCCCCAGTTGTGTGGCACCCACCCAT